CTTGGCCCACAGAACTGGTAGTTTAATGATCCCTGGCATTGCAAACATTCTGCCTAGCACCCCGAGGAGTGACCCCTGAATAAATGGAGTCAGGAGTAAGCCCTGAGCACTTCCAGGTGTGACTCCACTCCCTGCCAAAAGTCAGCTTGGCTGGCAGAGACACAGTGCTTCTCAAGCCCTGTAGTGCCAGGGGCTACCTAGGTACCTCTGGTAGTGGGGGCATCTAAGACTACACTTAACCACATGGTGCTGGGAATCAAACCAGGGTGGTTGCAAGCAAGGTATGTGCCTTATGTATGTACCTTAAGATATGTACCTTAATCTCTATACTATCTATGCTATCTCCTGTTCCTGGCCCTTATTTATTTATTTATGTGTGTGTGTGTGGGGGGGGGGGGTATGAGAAGGGAGGCACATCCTGCAGCGTTCAGGGTTTATTCCTGGCTCTGTGATCAGAGATCACTCCTGCCACAGTTTGGTGGACTGTATGTAGTGCCAGGGAATAAACCAGGTTGAGTATGGGGAAGGCAGATGCCATACCCACTACACTATCTCTCCAGCCCTTGTTATTATTCTTAATGCAGCTGGGATGATTTAAAAGGACTTTAAGCAGGGAAATGATACACTCTAATGTTATGCGGCTCACTGAGTTTCAATCTCAGCACCACATATGGTCCCTTGAGATTTGCCAGGAGTGATCTCTGAGCACAGAGCCTGGAGTAAATCCTGAGTTTCTCTGGGTATGCTTCCCCCCTGGCCAAAAGAGCAAACAAAAAAACTGAAATAATCAAAACCCAAAAAACAAAATCTCCTTTCTCTTTGGGTATTCTGTGAGAGATAACATGCAAGTTAGATGCTTTTCTCAATCCTGTTCAAAGTCCACCAACTCCTGTGTTGAGTATTGCAGAGTCTGTCTCACCTAAAAACTCTAACTATAAAGTCCTGCCATTATCTCCGTAAGGCACTTTTATCCTCCTTTTTCTCACAAATACCTGTGAATAAAATACTGATGGATCAAAATCCTCAACTAAATAACTGGTTCCTAGAATCACTGGTAAATTTTAAACTATGTACCCTATGTATCTATGTATCTAGATAATGTATCATTTGAATATCTGGTTGATTTTGCCATATATATCAAAAGTCTGAATTTTCTAAAGCCTATTATGTAAGTATTTAGCACATATCCTATCAAATAACAAGAAGTTGTCTGGGGTTGAGGGAGGAGGGTAGAGAGACTCAACACGTTGGAGGGCATCTTGGCTTGGCATGCAGGAAGCCTGATTTGACCAAATCAGGGAAATTCATGATTCCCCAGAAGAATTATCATATCACCAGCTATGATACCCCCACCTCCACCCCAAGCACTGAGCTGGAATAACCTCAGAGCACTGGGTGTGGCCCCAACATTAAAACAAAAAATAAAAAATGAAATGAGAAAAGACTTGCTTTCATATATATTTCTGGTAACAAACTTTTCCTCCTGATGAGTCACAATGTGATTAATGCCCTGTTGTCAAGATACCAATTAGAGCTTGGATCTGCTGAGTTAACACGGGAAGACCTGAGACAGGATGCTAACATGAGGCTGGAAAGTGATCTACTCTCCCTCGAATATTAAAGGCTTAGGAGGTTTTCAAAATGTACCAGTCAAGGTGGGTTAAGGATGACTCACTGATAAACACTAGCTGAGAGGAAGCCAAGGCCACTATCAGATCTGAGATAATTCGGAAAACACTTGGTCTTTTGTACTTTCTCAAAGTGTTTTTGACTTGGTCTAAGATATAGGAGGCCAAAAACAGGACATACACCTTTAAATTATCAAATACATTTGTACACCTTTCGTTCTTTTCCTAGTTAAGGGAATCAGAACCTCTTTGATTAAAATGAAATTTTAGTACAGGGGTAAAGCAAGGCATCTGAAATTATAAAATGTATACTGACTGCTGAGTCAGGTGATTTTCTTCTACTCATAGGAACTCCACAATGAAAACTGGAAAGACGATTTGAGAAACAACGGCATAGTTTTTGCCGTATTGAGCTCCTTCTCAGGGCTGAAGCGATAGCACAGCAGAAAGGGCGTATGCCTTGCACACAGCCAACATGGCCCCTCTTGGAGAGCCCGGCAAGCTACTGAGAGTATCTCGCCTGCACGGCAGAGCCTGGCAAGCTACCCGTGATGTATTCAATATGCCAAACACAGTAACAACAAAGTCTCCAATGGGGACGTTACTGGACCCACTCGAGCAAATCGATGAACAATGGGAGGACAGTGACAGTGACAGGAGCTCCTTCCCATACTTCATTCTATTGATGGCTTTCACTGGTTATTTTTTTTAAAAATTTTACTCAAGGAACCATGATTTGCAATTTTGTTAATAAGAAGTTTCATGCTTTTTGACTGTTCCAGTTTTTTGTTTGTTTGTTTAAGGGCCACACTGGGCTGTGCTCAGAGCTCACACCTGGAGGGTCTCAGGAAACTGTGTGGAGTGCTAGGGATTGAGCCCACTCAGCCATGCACAGGGCAAGCACCCTACCTGCTATACTATCCCTTTGGCCTTATGGATCAGAAACTTTGATACCAATATGTTTTGGCCAAGGCATTTGGTTAGTTGGGGGTGTGGGAGCACACCCAGCTGTGCTCAGGGCTTATTCCTGGCTCTGCACTCAGGGATATTTTCTGGTGATGCACAGAGGACCATATATAGTGCAGGAATCAGGGCCAGCTGTGTGCAAAGAAAATGCCTTATTAAACTTACTGTATAATCTCTCCAATCTAGTCATGGTATTTTTACTGTACTTTACAAATATGTTGCTCCACTATGAACTGACAATTAAAATAAAACAACAACAACAACAACAACACAAATCCCTCACTGTAATAGTGCAAGAAGCACTATGCTGTCTGTGACACTGCACCTGTGAAGATTCTGCTGCTCATAGGCAAGTCCTCAACATGTGACCAAATAAGACTTTCTTAAGGGACCAAAGAAAAAGTGGTTCAAAGACAAAAACAAAAGTCCAACAAACTCAGGCTCAAACTCAAATCTTTCTCATTCTTTAGCTTATTTTTGTTTATTTTTTGCTTCAATGAACGTGCTGATACTTGAAATCTCCTTAGAAAGGTCCTATTTCTATTTCAACATGTCTGTCAGAAAATATGTCAAATAGGAACAGTTTGCTCATCCTACAGATATGTTCTGAGTTTTCCAGAAAGCAGCAGTTTTTATTTGACTTCCTCTCTGAAATACTTATACAAATGAGAGTTTCGGGCATAGAAGTCTATCATCAAGTTTTGAAATCACTCAAATTTATTAAGCTTATTTCTATTATTTGATATTACAATATGCTGAAACTCAACTGATTTGTGAAACTGACCCAACATTGTGTATTAATTTCCTAAAACCAATTAATTCTTAAAATTAATTTCCTAAAATCAAGAAAACTTCCTGATACAGTTGAGAGTTATGTGAGACTATTCATGGAAAATAATTTCTCAAAACAACAGTAATGTTAAGAATTGTTCTAGAAAATGTTTCCAAAGCTAGAGATTTTTCACATAGAAGTTCACCCCCATGTTTCTACCACACCAAGTATAGAGCACAAGGAAATCACTTGGGAAATGTGAATCACCCTTAAGTATAACCCACTTTTCATGTTCATATGGTTCTATTAAAAGGGAAAATGGAAAATAATGATACTCTTTGCCGAGACAAATGGGTATTTTTAAACCTATCATTCTGTAGCAATTAAGTTTGAGATATTAATAATTATACCATCTAGGGAAATTTTCACTTCAATTTCTATTTTCATTGTTTCCTCTACTATACCACTTTTCTTTTGTTAAGTCTTAATACCTTGCCAAAATATAATTGGAATAAAAGTAACACTAATGTACAGTAATGCCAATACGTAATAATGAAACTTGTAAAAACCTGCAAGAGTGTATGGAAAAAATAAAAAGAATATAGGGTCAGACATGATCATCACTGCTGCCAAGCGGGCTTTCTCAGGCTGAAAATTATAAAAATTATAAAAACTGAAAACAGAGTTTAAAGTAGTTATAAAAATGTCTATTTGAAGTACATATTTCTGGGAACATTTTTTTTTATTTGGGGGCCCACACTAGGTGATATCAGCTCAGGGCTTACTCCTAGCTCGGCACTCAGGAATTGCTCTTGACAGTGCTGGGGGACCATATGGGATGCCAGGGATCGAACCCGCGTCAGTCATATGCAAGGCAAATGCCCTAACCTCTGTACTCTCATTCTACACTGCCCTCCCACTTTTTTTTAAAGTGAAGCAAGAGAGTTTTTACTGAACAAAATTTGCTTAGAAAGATGTGAGATGAGAAAAAAAGAGAAAATATGTACTCAAAGAGAGAACAAAGACTTCTCCAGAATAGAAAAAAGCAAGAAAAGATACATAAAGATAAGAGAAACATGCATGCAAGGGAGAATACGAGCTTGAAAAGCAAGCATGGAAGCTCACTCAACTAGATTGAGAATGATTTTGATCATGACATATATATAGTATAAAAAACTCTACTGATAGAAAAATCCTCTGTAAATGTCTAAAGAAGAAATCATTTTTAAAAGTATATGTTAAAGGGATATAATACAGGAATAAATTTACAGAGACATAATCCCTCAAGCACTGTCCGTAGTGACAAGTGAGCACAAAGTCAAGAGTAAACCAAAACAAATATTTCAGCGCTGCGAGGTGTGGCCCTGAAACCCTGAAACCAAAGCAAACCAAACAAAAAAGGGTCTATATTTTCCCCCCCGAAAATTCCCTCTTTATACTATATAAGATACATTTTAACTCAGTTTTTATATTCATATGTGTGTGAACTGGAAAAAACATAACCATGTATTAAGGATGCACATGCACGTATAAACACAGAATTCATTGATGTGAATTAAGCAAAAAACTTTTGGGGGGCAGGGAAAGATGACAAGAAATCATTCTCAGATTTAAAAATAATAAAGGATACTTACAATATGCAGAAGTTTTAACACATCCACAAACCTGTAAAAAAAACAACAATGAAGGAAATGTTTTAAATGAACCCAAAGGGAAACAAGCAGTCTTGTGAATGATAAAACTGATACCTACACTTTTTCTGAACTCATGATCTCCTTCGCAATATGATGAACTTTACTCTTCACTCCTGTATCTTCACCCTGTGGATATGAGCATTGAGAAAACATGAATGCACAAAAGAACAAAGAAGATCTGCTGTGAGCTAGCTGGATGTAGCATCCTGCGTGGACACCTCTAGTTTTTGATGAAAACACATTTTGGGTTGACACTTCAAACATGGAAAAAAGAATTGCTGAACACCACGACCCAAGTGGGCCTGGGAGCAACTGGGGGCTCGGAGGATTAGTTCATCCACAGCACTGGGTCCTGCCCTGGACAGGCCCCAAGAGTGGAAGAAGCAGAATCATTAGTAGTCCAAAACAGCAAAATCCCACTCCCCAGGGGAGGTGACTCCATTACATAGATACCACATGAATATTAGTTCTTGGGGTGTTCACAAATAAGGTTATTGAGACTGAGTTCCCAATAGAGCTGGGTAAGAGAACTTCACGCTAAGCCACCTTTAAGTCAGATAACTTAAGTGCAGTCTGGATAGCTCTTCTCATATTCTGTAGCAAACATGCCCCAATATTACCGCCCAAGGCTCTCTCAACAGAACATTCCTTTCAGAAGTATGCTCCTACAGGGAAGGCAGTATTATTGTAAGAAACTGAAATGAAACTCTTTCATATACCTAGATGTGTATGGAAAATAAATGCCCTTGCAAAGACAAAAAAGATAAAACACAAAGAACATTTATATAGAAAAGTCTGACTTGGAATGCGGTCACAATATTTAGATTGTGGTTGTGACAGATTCACATAAGTCCTGCTCAAGGTAGCTCTGATCCCAGGACATTAGAGAAAAAGAAAGGAGTTTCTCCCCACTTCTTCTCTGGTGAAAGCAGTTAAGAGCTCAGAGAATAAAGAACAAGCAATAGTAACACTTCAGATATTGTCCCTAAGGTGAAAATTCTGACTGCTATCATGAAAATGAAAATGTGCTGAAATGTCAGGTCTGGTTGTAGAAAGAGGCTTCCTTCACATGCGCACTGGCAATACCACAACCATTCACTTGTGCCATGCAGGGCGCAACTAGAAATCGAATGTCCTAGCAGGGACTGACAATGTCATAGCAAAGATAAAAATTATAGAAAGGGACCACGCTCAGTCAGGAACCATTAACGAAATGACAAAGTAGAAAGACTGGTAGTGATTCTCTCTGAAGTCGCCTTCTTTTCTAAGTAGTAATCTGGGATCATTCTAGCAGGTCTGCTTACCTGAGCATAGTCTATGAACTATATTAGGTCTTTATCTGCACCTGCTTCTAGAATTTCAGTGTCAAACCACGGTGTGCAAATAGATGCAGTTTAACAAGGAATGGAGCTATTTTTGTTTTAAAGTATTTCTTTTTTTAGGGGGGAAGGGATGGAGCTTGAAGAGGTGTGGTGGGGCCACACTTGGCAGTGCTCAGGGCTGACTCCTGGTTCTGTGTTCAGGGATCATTCCTCGAAGGCTCAGGGGACTAAATCGGGTGCTGGGGATCAAATCCACATCAACTGGGTGCAGAACAAGCACTTTAGCCACTGTACTATCTCTCCAGGCCCTGTTTTAAAGTATTTCTGTGGAGCTGGAGAGATAGTACAGGGGTTAAGGCACTTGCCTTGCAGGTGTCCAAATACCCAGTTGGATTCCTAGCATAGCAAATGGTCCCTCAGTACTACCAGGAGTGAAATCTGAGTATACTTAGGCATAGTCCCTGAGCACTGCTGGGTGTGACCTCAAACTCCTCTTCCAAAATAAATTTAAGAATCATTAAAAAAACAAAGCTCTATTATTCACTCACAAAGAACTGGGTAAACTGGGAGAGGATTCTGCAGGGTTTTATGAAACTTTAAAATTTAGATTTTTGGGTGGGATGGGGGAGATGGGGGGTGGGAGGGATACTGGGATCAGTGGTAGTGAAGAAATGGCACTGATGGAGGGATGGGTATTCGATCGTTGTATGACTGAAACCCAAGCATAAAAATTTGTAAGTCTACAACTGTACCTCATGGTGTTTCACTAATAAAAATTTTTAAAAAAAGAAATTAAACCTTAAAAAAAGAGAGATATACTTAACAATAAAAAAAATTAGATTTTTTTTTAATTAAGAAGCCAAGACTTGGCTGGAGAAGTAATATAGGATTTAGGTGCTTAATCCTTGGCACTGCATATGGTCCCCAAACACTACCAGAAATGACCCCTGAGCATAGCCAGGTGTGATCCAAACATGCCCCTCAACACACACACACACACACACACACACACACACACACACACACACAAGAAGTCTGAGATATAGAATGTATATAATGTACTATAATTGGTTGCTATCTAGTGATCATTTGTTTACTATAATGCTAATCATTGATCATAAATGACAGCTTAAATCACAGGTGTGATCAACACAAGGAATATGTAAAGTGAGAACGAACCAAAAGCAGAAACCCCAAGATGCATATACACTAGCAATTTGCCAAGATTCCAAATTTATTATTAGCAGAATGGGAAGAGAACACAGATTTCCTAACATCTAACTCAGAAATTCCTCAATTACACCCTGAATCTTTCTTCAACATCTAGTAGTCCTCATGGCAAATGGTCACTGCTAAACAAATACCCACATCTAACTTCCAATCACCAAGTTTAAGAAATTCAAACGGGGGGCTGGAGCAATAGCACAGTGGGTAGGGCATTTGCCTTGCAAGCGGCTGACCCGGGTTCAATTCCCAGCACCACCAGGAGTAATTACTGAGTGCAGAATCATGAGTAACCCCTGTGCAACGCCAGGTTTGACCCAAAAAGAAAAAAAAGAAAAAAAGAAATTCAAATGGGGCTGGAAAGTACATCAGGTAGGATTCTTGCTTTGCATTCAAGTGGCCAACCCAAGTTCAATACTAGGCACCCCAAATGGTCCCTGTAGCCCACCAGGAGTAATTCCTAAGCACAGAGCCATGAATAACTTCTGAGCATCGCTGGGAAAGACCCCCCAAACAAAACAAACAAAACAAAACAAAGAAATGGAGCAAAAGTACAACAGGTAGAGTGCTTGCCTTCCATGTGGCTGACACATGTTTAATCTCCAGCATCCCTAGTTCCACCAGGAGTGATCCCTGAGCATAGAGTCAGAGTAAGCCCTGAGCACCGCTGGGGGTGCCCCTCCCCCCACCCCCATCCCCCAAAAGAAAGAAATTCAAATACTCTGCACTATCTGGTTTAAAATCTGGAGGAGAGTATGGGTAGGGTCAGCAAAGATTGAGAAGACAGGCTTGGCTCAGGGCTAGGATGAGAAATGCACTGCTCATGCCCCAGGCTACTATCAAGAAGTGCTAGGGATCATATCCAAGGCCTGCCTCTAGTCCACTGAGCTATCTCTTGGCCCTTACGTCTTGTTACGAAACAAACTGTTGTATATAATGTCCAAGTTTCGCTTCTCCTCCAGAAGTTAACAGTGATACTGCAGTTGGAGGCAATTTGCCCCTTCCATGTTTTCATTTTAGTATCCCCCAAAATTGGACATTTTAAGCTTTCCATTGGATTGTAAATTTTCCTTCCATTTGTTTGTTTCTTTTGGGACCACACCCCGCTTTGGCTCAGACCAAACTCAGGTCAGTGTGCAAGGCAAGCACCTTACCTGCTGTACTGTTGCTCCAGCCCCTGTGGATTATCAATTTTTTGTGGCTAAAATATTTAAAGTAGGCTATGAAACAACTACTTTTTGAAGAAATTTCCACACACAACCCCCCCACAAAAATTCCTGCCTTCCTTCCCTTTTGCTGTTGTTATGACGACAAGAGGCAGGTGCAGACATGTTTGGCTGTGGGGTTGACGCGGCTGCACATCGTGCTGGAGTGCTCACGTACTCAGCCACAGTGCTCATAAGAGGTCACAATCTTTCAGTGACAGTGACTGCACACAGTTGTGGTTGTGACACGCAGACATACTATGGCTGAAATGATTGCTATGGGGCTCATACACACGCTTGTATTTTGTTGTGGTATTGCAGGCCGAAAGGATGCTGTATTCCCAGCTAGATGCCAGAGAATACCCAGTCTACCGCAGAAATGGAGATCCCAAAAAGCAGAGCTGCTGTGACTGAGCTCAGTATATGGGGGAGCACCAGGGATACAACTTGTGGCCTCATACTCACAAGGGAAACACTTTCCACTGAGCCATTCTTCCGATCCCTTGAAAATCTTTACAGTCAATTATTAATCCAGAATGTATGAATAGTCTGTTCTAATGAACCTAGCATATCTTGCCATGCCAGTCGACCCTGGTGACCAAACCCTGTTCACAGAAATAATTAGGTAGAGGTTGAATCTTTCTGCCATTCTTCTTTTCAAAGGCACTGTCAAATGGTTGTGACTAACTGGCTGGAGAAGCTTTGCTCAACTGAACAAGATGAGGCACACGAAACTCAACTCCATTCACTCACGTTGTAAACCTGACATAGAACAAACATTCCTTGGGAAGCAGTCTTAGGCACAGTCTTATCCTTGTTAATCATGGACTAACAATTACAGCAGTATTCATTCTCTCTCTCTCTCTCTCTCTCTCTCTCTCTCTCTCTCTCTCTCTCTTAGGTAATTGGTTCCACATTTATTATAGAAAAACAAAAGCTTTTCCAACTATAAGTATGGATTTCTCTAAGTCATCAGATGCTACAAAGGTTAAGCAGTCTATCTTTTAAAGAGGAGATAGATGGCATTAGAAATAAAAGTCCTGGGCCAGAGCAATAGTACTGCATGTAGGGCGTTTGCCTTGCATGCAGTTCAATCCCCAGAATCCCATATGGTCCCCCAAGCACCACCAGGAGTAATTCCTGTGTGCAGAACCAGGAGTAACCCCTGAGCATGGCTGGGTGTGACCTGCAAAAGAGAAGGGAGGAAAAGAGGAGGGAGGGAAGGAAGGAAGGAAGGAAGGAAGGAAGGAAGGAAGGAAGGAAGGAAGGAAGGAAGGAAGGAAGGGTTCAGAAACCTAAAGCATGGAAAGAAATGAAGTCTTCATGCTACACTCTTCATTTTCAAATGATGCCTGGTTGCTTAAGGGTCAAGAGG